GTTTTTTAAATAAATGATAAACATTTCATACTAAGTTTCATGTAAAGTGATATATGATTAACAGATAATGCTATAATTGTAAAATGGGCATGTATTAATAATTTAATGAATTAATTAGCGATTGTAATTAGCTGAGCAGGCATAATCAATGAAGCTATATATTTAACACAACCAAAGGTGATAATTACCAGTACCTAGATATAGGGTTTGAATTTTTAGGTGACTCTTAAGCTACCAAAAGTGAATGATGCATAGTATATCAATGTTTATATTTGGCCTTAGTTTCCCTTTGTGACTTCGAGTAGATCATAGTTCATACTGATCTTGTATCATGTTTACCAAGTCCATTTTACCAGAATGAACTTTAATTGTGAAAAGAAAAAAACAAGTTGAAAAATAAAGTTCGTATTTAATTGGTAGTCTCAGTATACATGTATTAATTTCACTTGTTTTGTGGCTTTCTTTGAAACCTAATTTCTTTAAATGAAACCTAATGATTTCTTTCAATATTTTTTTCTGGCTGTCTTCAATTGATTTTCTGAGTTTTCTATTAAAAAAATATTTAGTATGTCTATCAATCACCATTGAATAAACATTTTTTTTTAAAGTAAGATATGGCAATATGGGATTTTAATTTTAAGAGTTGAAAATAATTAAAAAAAAAATAATAACCTCTCAGTGACCATCATTTGTTTTAGATTCAATAATATAGAGAGATTAAAAACAAAATGTAATTGAATGTTATTGAAAAGTAATGGTCATTACTGACATTTTTTTAAAGTAATGCATTACATTACAATTACTTGAAATTGAAAGATGGACCATTACACATTACACCCCATTACTTTGAAAAAAGTAATGATTACAATACATTACCATTACACATTACCATTACCCCAGGTCTGAAGTCAAGAACAGTGCTTATCTAAACTAGAGAGTTCCAAGGAACGCATGTGTCGCCTGCTTTGTAACTTGATTAAAGATGTAAATAAATCTAAGAGTGGTCACTTTCTATTTACTGTTAGCATGATAGTTCATGCATTTGCCTGCAAAGAAAAAATGGCATCCATGGGTAGTATAAGACTGCAATAGAATCTGTTGATCAGAGGAAATATGGTTCCCTAACCCTCAAATGAATAATTGAATAGAAATATATGGAGATAACAAACAGTATTAAAGCTCAAAAATCCATTAAACAATACAAATTTTGGATCAGAGCAAACACGGACCTCTAAAACATCAGAGGTGGGATCAGGTGCCACGGAGGAGTGAGCATCCCCTTCCCACCGGTCACACCCGCCGTGTTCTCCTTGTCATGATCGGGAAATAACGAAAAAATCTGTCGACAATTCAGTGTGTAAAAATCCGTCGACAATTCTGTGTACACTAGACAAAATTGCTAATGCGCCACCAAAGAAAATTAAAATTCTACTTTTCAAAACTTGTTTATGGTGTATTTGATATATAATTATGTTAATTAAATAAAAAATGAGGCATTTCAATGCCTTTACTGATAGATAACTAGAATGTTTACTGAAGCGTAACCATTTCATAGACAAAATTAAAATCGTGTCCATACTTTTTTGGAAGAATAAATTTCTATTTTTCTTTGTGCTTGTGTTCTTTATATTTGTACCAATTAAAAACTCAGAAAAAAGTTACACCGTATGCGGCGTTTGACCTTAGAAAAGCGCGCTAAAGCAGGCAGTATGGTGGCTGCAGGGGGTTCCTTTGGAGAAATTTGTAAAAAAAAAAAAAAAAAAAAAAAAAAAAAAAAATTAAAACAATTAAAAGATTATGAATTCCTTTAATGAGATATTGTTGCAAATACATTAACAAATATAAAAATGTTTACCTTAGATAGCCACGGCATTAAATAAGCAGCTCACGGTAATTTGAAAATTGTACCACAAAATTGGGTCAACCGGAAGTCGGGTGGATTTGGTATGGACACCAAGGCACTGGATGACTACTAAGCGATATGATAGTCAATAGCTGTATGTTATTTGATTTTTAACTGGGAGACTGCTTCTGTGGCAACCTCACGGATCACCTTTGGTGATCACCAACTTCATATCTGGGCAAAAACGGTGCGCAGTGCACGTCGGGAAATTGGTTTACGGGCAAGAAGGTCATTTAAGGGTCTTGTCATGATACCAAGACATTTGTCAATCCCACTGTTTTGGAAAAGATGGCATATTATATATATTATTACCGTTGGGGCAAATGTTCAGGTTACAAATAAGAATAACAAGTAGTGCGTTAGCAATTTTGTCCAGTGTAAATAATGGCCTAACAATTAATAGAAAAACGTCAGTCAGCATTTGACTTAATGATGAATTGTATTTGCTGACAAAGGTCATTGTATCGAGATAGAACTTACGAAATGACGACTTTAAACGAGACTTCTTATATTCTTGTTTCATCAACTTGTGTGTCAATAACTTACCTCGTTTTAGAAATTGTTCATACGTAGAGCATCCTCTTGCGTATCGAACGAACTGAGAAATATAAACCCCGTATGCAGGTGATGAAGGTATATTGCTGCATAAGTAAGGGAATTTGACGATTAAAATGTTAAAGTCATCACATTTATCATAAAGCTTGGTTGTTAGATTACCATTAACGGCAAGTGGTGGCGTCTCCATGTGAGTGAAAAATGACAAGGTTAGTAAATTTACAAGTTTCATTTTTATTGAAAAAGCAGCTGTCAATGATATTTAAAAGGCTGGACTTTAATTTATCGTGGGGAATGGTTGTATATAAAGTTGAAAATTCGTAAGTTTTTATGCTGTTGATTTATTAAAATTATTAGAAATAACTATTCATCATTTTTTCAAACAATCCTCCATTGAGATTTCAGTCTGTCTTTACTACAATTGTCAGTCTACACGATCCATTGTGGAATACCAATCCCGGTGTATTTTCATAGTATTTTTAAATATAAGTTTGTGTGGTAACTGTATATCATGCAGTTTCAAAGTACAGTATCATGCGCTAAACGTGTTTCCAACAATCCTCCAAAAGAGATTTCAGTCTGTCTTTAAAGCAATTATCAGTTTACACAGTTTCAAAGTACAATTTCATGAGTTCATAAATCCTTCCTCTCATAATTCAAAACTCAAAAGTTATATTAAAAGGCCAGGGGCATTGTTTTTGTAAAGTAGGTCAAAGGTCAGGGTCAAATGGATTGTAATGATGGTATTTTTCATAATGTCTAATGACAAACAGTGCACATGCTAAATAGCATAGACCTAACTCTTAAATTTCAAAAATATGCTTTTTAATGGCACTATAAATTATTTTGAAAAGTAGGTCAAAGGTTAAGGTCAAGGGTCACGAGGTCGGTAACCATGGTAATTCACAAAAGCCATAGTGCTAAGCAATATTTGTACAAAATATCAAATCCATATCTCTTACAGTTTTGAGATATAGGGTGTGACAGACAGACAGACGCCTGGTAAATTGATCCTTAAGTGTCGCTCTGCTCTGTAGGTGACACAAAAAGCGTTTAACGACTTAAAAAAAGTATAAGGAAAACTGTAAAGAGGAAATGCAGCATACCAAATGAAGAGAAAATGCTTATGTTTAAAGGAAAAAATCTTTAATCGATGCCTAACCAGAGCAATTTTTTTCAAGATGCCCTGGTCTTTTCTTTTCAATTAAGTTAAAGCATTTTGGTTAAAATGAGGCATTGCGGATATTCTTCTTTGTGAAGCTTGAAATGGAAACTATATCTATACGAGGGTTGTCCAAAAAGTTCGTGGACAAATGCTTAATTTTCTTTATAAAGTCCGCAATGGCAAACATGTACGATAATATCTTAATACAGACCATGATTGAGTAAATGTACAAAAACTGAAAACAATGCACACTATTTACTGAACATTATAGGTGTAAATACTTTGTATATGCAAGTCGCACGGGCCAGTCTGACGTAACGCTTATTTCATGATAACCTCAGAAATATGAATTTTGAATTTTTATCGCATGTTCATAGACGCACGCTATTTTTCTTTATTATGCCACAATACCAAATGTGTGCAATAATATTTATGTATAGATTATAAGTAATTAAATTTTAAAATTCAAAACAATGCACAATAATTTACGAGCGTCATCAATATTAACACTTCGTAAACACAGAAAGTCCAGCCCGACGGCACTATATCCTATTTTCATCAAATAACAGTGGTTTTCCACTTCTTGAAGTGTCTCCGAAATTTTACACACCGTTAAAAAATCGTATACACCAATTACAAATCACTAGACTAAATATTTTCCAATAAATTTAAGTTGTTTGAATAAATATTTGTTTTTGACGACGTTTCAACCATATTAACCTAATTGTATCATTGGACGCTGTCCCGTTCGGATGGCCGACGTCGCTTTTTCTGTCAATTTTTAAAGCATACCTTTTGCGGTTTTCACTTAATATTTTCATTGTCTATTTAGTTAGCGATACTAAAGGTATCAGAAAATGGCGATAACCGCTTTATTTGTGATATATTAAATTTTTATTTAACTTTGACTTGTTTTAAAAAGAAAATAATCATTTCAATCAGATCACTTTATTTAAAAGTTCATGGCATTTTAACCCTGTTCCGTGCGCACTTTCGGTGACCTTTAATGACCGAGATTTTTACAAAAATATTAAGTTCAAACAATAAAAACCAAACTATTCCGACTTGGATTTTCATAACTAATATTTTGGTATACAATAAGCATATCTTGAACCATTCATTTTGACAAAAACGCCCTTGTCCACGAACTTTTTGGACAACCCTCGTGTATATATATATATATATATATATATATATATATATATATATATATATATATATATATATATATATATATATATATATATATATATATATATATATATATATATATATAATATATATATATATATATATATGATATGTATTTTACATAATCAAATAGTTTATATTTTGTTTTAGTAAGACTAAAAAGTTTATATTTTGTTGTAGGTAAAAATGGAAAGTTTATATTTCACAATATTTCATCCACATGGATGGAAGCTAGTGAATATTGTTCTAAAGAAGACATGATTCTCGCTAATATAAACAGCAGTACAATGCCTGGGAAACACAATATATACAATAATTACTGGATTGGATTAAGACAGTCGTACATTTATCAAGCAGGTATATTTTATTATCATTCATAATTGTGTTTATTTTTAAATCGTGCATCGTATAAAACGAAAGGTACAGATGATACCTTAAGCTTTTAAACAAATATATTAAATCAAAAAAATAAATACATGTAAATAAAATAAAACAAAATTGATTATAAGTGATAAAGGCATTTCAAACAGTAATACCTAGTGTGGTTAAACGGCTTTAAAAACATCAGTGTTCGTGGGGGACTGGCAATTTTAGAATTTTTAGAATTACGGACTTTAACTAATAGCATATCAAATAATATGTTATAGGAATTTGAAAACTTACGCCAGAGACGCTGAAATTGATAACCTGGAGTGAAGTTCTTTATATTAGGAATGGAATCTTGCAGTCATTATGACCTCTCAGTTTTCACTCTTGCAATCACTCCTAGATTATAGTCTGGACGGGAATTAATATGACACAAATTCGGGCCATAAGAGATCGTTTTATCAAGCAAAAGCGAAATTCAATGACAGTTCCCTTAGTGTTAATTAAAACACCTCATTTTACAATCAAATTTAAGTATCTTTGTTATTTGGGCGACATATTGTTATTGTTCCACCAGTAATTTCGTCCGCAGATGTTCTCTCAGATGACATGGACAGTCAAAATGAAACTACACAGAAAGGATTATCACCAAGTATACTTTTTTTCAGCAGTCATTGTCATGAAAAAAGAAAAATGTGAAATTTTTCATTTCTCTCCATAACCGTCCGACCTATCTATTTTTAAAGTTTAAAGTATTATTTCTTTGCATCATTGAATAGCTTGTACAAACTTTTTTCACAGGTAACAAAAAAGAGAGATTGTCTTTGTTTGAATTTGATTTTTTCCATTAAAAGTACTTCAAACTACATAATATTAATTTTTAGGCCTTTCCCAAAATTTCCAAAATGGTTGATCTTATCATGGAAATAAAATGGGTTAATCTCTAAAAATCTAAATGATACATTTTTCAAATTTTGAAATAGTTACAACTTAAATATTGCACGACCTTACGGACAGTTCGGAGTGCAATACCAGTATGTTATTGCTGGCAAGTATCAAAATTTTTGATCACTTATTTCTTTTAGCATCTTTGATCTCTATTTGCACTTAATAGGAAACTAGAGTCTTCCAAGGAACGCATGTGTCGCCTGCTTTGTAACTTCATTAAAGATGTAAATAAATTTAAAGAGTGGTCACCTTTTATTTACTATTATCATGATAGTTCGTGCTTTTGCCAGCAAAGAAAAAATGGATTCATGGATAGTATAAGACTGCGATAGAATCTGACAAAGAAATTAAAATTATTAGAAATAACTATCCTTTTATTAATACGTGTTTCCAACAATCTCCCGATAGAGATTTCAGTCTGTCTTTATTACAATTGTCAGTCTACATGATCCATTGTGGAATATGAATCCCAATGTATTTTCAAAGTATTTAAATACAAGTTTGTGTGGTAACTGAATATCATACAGTTTCAAAATAACTGTATCATAAGTTCAAAAACATGTATAAATACTAAATAACTAATCAAAATCATGCCTCTTAAAATGCAAAACTCATAAGTTAAATTAAACTGCCCGGGGTATTTTTTTTCAAAGTAGGTTTAAGGTCAAGTGGATTGTAATGCTGGTATTTTTCATAATGTCTTATGAAAAACAGTGCACATGCTAAATAGCATAGACTTACCTCTTAAATGTCAAAAATATGCTGTAAATCCGCACTATGAACTATTTTGAAAAGTAGGTCAAAGGTCAAGGTCAAAGATCACGAGGTCGGTAACCATCATGGTAATTTACAAACGCCATAGTGCCAAGCAATATATAACCAAAGTATCAAACCCATATACCTGTAACAGTTCTCGAAATATAGGGTGTGACAGACGGACAGACAAATAGACGCTGGGTAAAGTGATCCCTAAGTAAAGCTCTTCTCTGCAGGTGACACAAAAAGGGCAGACTCCAATGTTATTCTTCGGGGAAGCAAAAATAGATACACGTATCTCATATACTTTTTTTTCAGATATGGAATCGGGGCTTTGTTCATTTATCGAAAAATATAATTCAGGTGGTGATCTAAGTTATTCCAAAGAAGATTGCTCAAGTAAAAATCCATACCTTTGTGTAGAAGGTAAGGAAAGGTCATAAAGTCTCTTTGTCTTGGTTGCATCATGTCCCATCATTTGATTTTCATTTGAGACAATAATTTGTAAAAGAAAACACCCATGTGTAAAGTGTTTTATAAATTTACACCGAAATAAAGTCATACCCTAGTAAATTCTGTTGCTTTCACACCAGTGGCACGTACATTTTTTCGCCGGCAACAAACCTGAGTCCATAAAAAAAAAAGCTTCGCGAAACGCTCGTTACTTTGAAGAAAATTGAGGGTCTTTCGAATGAGAAATTTAAAACCTAGATCCAGTGTCATGGTACTAGGCATTGGCACGATAGTTAAAAAATGGCCCTCAGTGCCGAGTAAATGTCTAAATTTGAAGCCCTTCACTTGCATACGGTGACGTCTCAGATGAGTGAAATAATTTTGCAAGGATCAAAAATCTGCAATCAATCAATCTTTAATGATTATAAATTGCTCTTTATAATCTAATTATGCATATATACAAGAATGGAATTTCTGCGACAGAAGGTTTTACGCAAAAATAAACTTCTTGCGAATAAAATGATTTACAGTACATAGATATAACTTACTGACACAAGCGTCAGATTAGGGCCACATAATCCATTGTTTGTATGAATGCATGCAAAGAAGTGTAGAAACATCTGTTGATATTTTGTATTCTTTGTTATATTCTGGACATAAATATAGGAAAATAGTAATAAGTTAAGAAATTGCTTTGGACTTTAACAATTCTCAGAAACTATTCCAAACTGAAAATCTCATTAAATTGTGGATGTATAAGAAATATTTAAACACAATTCACAAAATTTTAATTTTGTATCATCGTGCCTTGTAAACACAGGTTTTGTCTTCTTAGAACTCTTGCTTCAAAAAAGATATCAGTATTGTATAAAGATGTATCTCATAAGAAACGCAGAATCGTTTGAAACAACAAGACCCATCCTGTCGACCGATCGTGTTTGGTCTGAGGAGCATAATTTCTTTCAGTAAAAAGAATTGTATGACTATAATCAAATTTACCGATATATCAAAAAAAAAAAAAAAGAAGAAGGAATTCCTTTGTTTTGGTTAACTTGTTAAAATGAATTTCACGAAGATATCTCATATTTCTTATTCTTTTCGTATTTCTTTTCTATTTCTTATTCCATCAGATCTTACGTCGAAGGAATCATCTATAAAAACCGTTCAAAGTAAGTATCGATACATGTATTTCTTCTACTTAGTATGCACATGTACACTTCGACATGCCACTATGTATTTATCCATCTTCTGTCAGTAAGCTTGCCATTCATGATACAATTTTGCTACCATGAGGATTATTCTGTTCTTTAAAATAAGTAATTATGATAAACACCTCTTTTATAATAAGTACATCTCTTTTCTAACTCGGATGTAAAGGAGGTTTAGAATTTAATATCTAAAGAAATGATATCAAATCTTCTGACAAATAATTGAAATTGTAAAATGTAATGTCAACGCTAGGGAGATGATGAATTGTGGAAATGTTCATTGAGAATTTAATTAAATGAACTCTTTCAATGTGTGTGTGTGTGTGTGTGTGTGTGTGAGGGTATGTGTGTGTGTGTGTGTGTGAGGGTGTGTGAGAGAGAGAGAGAGAGAGAGAGAGAGATGCAAGGAAGTGATTGATTTCATTTGTTGAATCACGTTTTTTCCTATAACGGAAGTCAGCAATAACACAAGAAATACAAATGACACGACAAGTGATGAGAAAATTCAAACAACAAATAAGATCAGTACCCAGGCGGCCAATGGAGGAGGTATCAAATTATAAACTGGCAATTTATGCATTTTTAAGCATTAATGGGTGAATTTATTGTTATTTACGTCACAAAAAAAAAAGAATGAATATTAAAGAAGAATGCATGTAAAATATCCTTTACATGCTTTGAAATATCATCTTTATCAGTTAAATGGAACTCTGGAAAGTCATGTGGTTCTATATATATATAGGGAGCTTTACATGCACACAGTATTTTTTACTTATTAAAGAAGTACGCTCCTAAGCATTTGGATTCCAAAGTGACAGGATTAATATCTTTCAAAATGCATGTTTAAGATTTATCTCATATTCATAAATATTGTATATATACAACCTAACAAAATGTTATTAAAAGACAGAACGTAAAATGCATTTTAAAGGAGTTTCTTGGTAACTGGTTTTTCTTGCGAATTCATGTTTTTCTTGCAGAAGGATTTCAAACAAAAAATACATAGAAATATGCTTATTTTAATCTTATTATAAAGCCTTTTTTCCATCTCCTTAATTAAGTAATTCGTTATGCAAAACATTATTTTCTGATATCAGACAAACAATAAAGACTTGAATCTAATTTATGGAATTTGAAATTAAGCCATTCAATGTTTTATAAAAATACGTACATTAGGCTTACATTCACAAAAACGCCGTCACGGTAGCTCAGTCGGTAGAGCGCTCGCTCCGTGTTCGGAAGGCCATGAGTTCGAATCTCGGCCGCGACTGACCTAAGTCGATAAAAAAATAGGTAGCAACTGTTCATTCGTCAGGCGCTCGGCAATTTGAAGTGAAAGTTGCGGGTCCTTCGGATGAGACCTTAAAAACTGAGGCCCCATGTCACGGCAGGCGTTGGCACGATAAAGATCCCTCACTGCTCAATGGCCCTGAGTGCCGAGTAAAGGTCCAAATTTGAAGCCCTTCACCGGTATATGGTGACGTCTCTATATGAGTGAAAAATTCTCGAATGAGACGTAAAACAACATATAATCAATCAATCAATCATTCACAAAAACTCTTGAAAAATAAATTTAACATTTTCATAAAAATTTTATTTATAACCTTAATAACTTGAAAGAATGAAACCTAACCCCATGTTTTTTTTTTTTTTTTTTTTTTTTTTTTGTTTGTTTGTTTGTTTGTTTTTTTTGTATTAAATATAAAAAAAGACATGGCAATAATACACATGCAATTTTTTTTAAATGGCATTACTTCTTCACTAAGGTATAGAAACATACTTTATTCATATTAAATTTACTTATCTTTCAGTGCAAAAAAAAGTCACGATTTACATTTTAGGCTTCAAAGATTTTTTTCTTAACCTTATAATACCATCATTGAGAATTTATTTACATGTTTATATTTACATTCAGTGTAATTTTCTTTATGAAATCCATTAGAAATCCACGACCTTCAAATCTATAACACACGCGAAACCTTGTCACCGCGCGGTAGAACACACAGTATATGAACTACATGCATTTTCAATATCAAGGAACAAGCAAAATGCATATTGTTTTGACTCAATTTAATTAAAAAAAACTACCCTGTTAAATTAACGTAAAATACAACAACTGTGCGTTTGAAATTAATTTGTCTTTTTTTTTCTCGAAATGTTCATATGCGTTATTAAACTTTCCAATGTCATAAACGGTTCTTATGTCTTATAAGCACGCCAGTTCTCAAAGGCGCTAAATTCATTTCAGCAATGGATTCTTATTTTTGGATGTCGTCGGTCCTACACTACAATTTGTCGGCACGGCCAGGTGTGTTAGGACCGACGACATCCAAAAATAAGAATTTAATGCTTAAATAATATTTTTTTTAAAAAATAGCAATCGTTTAAATCAATATTTCAAACTTTTTTCTAATTCTAAGTGCAAAAAGGTCAAGTTTAAGTAGCTTTCACTAAGAAACAAGGCATGTGTCATTCTTGTTTCTCTTTCCTATTTTAATTCTTTATCATAATATATATTAGAAATATTCTTCATGAAAAAATAACATTACAATACTCTCTAGTACACAAAAGTACAACTCACTTAAAATACTAGCTGTGTATGATGAAAGTAAACATAGATATATTTTAGGAATGACTCTAATTCTTGGCCAAATTATTCGAGTATAACCTGGTTTGGGTCAGTTTACGCTTTATAATCCGCGAAGCGAATAATTTGGCCAAGAATTAGAGTCATTCCTTATAATTTAACTTTAAATCATTAAATAACTATGGGTGTAAAATTTCGTTGCTTTTTATTAGTTCAAATTTGCCGCTCAATAATACAACCGTAGTAACGGAAGTGATGGGAAGCGAGGGGAAGTAAAAACTGATACATAGGCCTAGCAGCCATGTTGTTTGTTTACATGTGGTAAGATCGAATTATTGTTTGAAGTTAAAGGTACATTTATTAAATCTGGAATTTTCCATGGATCCCGAGGACTGGAAATGAGAGGATTGTATGGATACAGATGATTCAGCTGGTTGTCGGGGGGGGGGGGGGGTGTCCCCATACCAAACCAGGTTATACAGAAATAATTTGTGTTCCTTTTTGGATATTAACCAATCAGGGGCAAGAATACAAACAAAATTAAATTATTTTCATTTCAACACAAATCATAATTCACAATTTAGATTTTTTTTCATGATTTTTCATCGTTGCATGAATCAAGAATGTCACGGTTACCAATATTTTTTTTTCACTTAATACAGTACAAGACTGGTGATTATTTAAAGCAAGGTACTGTGATGCAACAGGGTCATGCATCAAGTGTGTTGAGGTTAAGGAACACTCAACAGTATTTTTTTTCGAAAGATGGGGGCAATTGCTGACCATATGTTCTTCTTTTTTGCAAAATTTTGGCCCGATTCCGGGCCATCGACAGTTATGAATCACCTTGTAATTATTTTGGAAAGTTCTTAAGCTATTTAAGTGACTTTCATTTATTCCAAAATTATTAAGATAATTTATACTCCTGTAGATATAATTAGGTAATGAGTATTGTGTGTCATACTTTGAATTTCGCTGACACAGCAAGGACTCATGAAGAGATTGCAAATAAGAAAATACAAACGAAAAACTTTTTTTTCTAAAAATATAAACAATTCTAGAATTTGTATCATTCGTTGTATATTGGCACGCGCCAGGATTTCAATGTAAAAAGTAAAGACAACAAACAGTGACCGATCTCAAAAATTCCACAAATAATAAAAATATGGGAAGAGGGCATAAAACACGGAACCCAGAAAATTCCAGAGGTGCGATCAGGTGCCTAGGAGGAGTAAGCATACCCTGTTGACCGGTCACACCCGCCATGGGCCCCATGTACTGGTCAGGTAGACCGAACTATCCATAGTCAATTCAGTACAAAAACAAAGGCCTAACAAAATGTACTTTCATACGAGAAAACCAAACTCGTTCCAATATTCAGTGACAAAATCAGTAACTTAATGATAATGATAAAGAAAATCTAAACTGTATAAAATTGACTGCTTCCACCAGTAAAACTTTGTTACAACGCACTTTGAAAAATTACGCATTTTGAAAAAAAAATTCAAAGTGCGTTAAATTTGGGACCAAGTTAACGCACTTTGAAAAAAAAAATATTTCATTTCAAAGTGCGTTAATATCGACCATATTAACGCACTTTGAAAATAAAATGTGCACGGTTTAGTCAATATTCTTGCAAATTTTAGTAAAATAAATAAGTAGTTGAACCTAGACCTAGATGGATAACTTTTTGGTGATTACGTCACTTTAGGATCTAAGATATAGAAGTTTTAAGGATTTTTATGGGTTGTCTTGTTCTCAAAGGTTCTCGTAAATGCTATAAAAGGGAAATGGGTCTTTTAGAAATAATGGAGGAATGATTGTTAAATAGCACAATTTCGTTTCCTTTTTTATTTTATCCAGTCTGTAATAAGTTCGGTAGGTGTAGAGGTCGATATTGAGTTAAAGCATCGCATTTTTCTTAAGGAAAAGAGGGCGATTATGATATTTCCATTGAAAATAATTTTTCCGCACAATATGATGGTCTTAATTTTTTTTTATAGTTATTTGATAAATATTAGAAGTATGAAAAAAAATGTTTATTCCAGCACAATTTGATGGCCTTCTTTTGATTATTATTATTGTTGTTGTTGTTTTTATTATTATTATTTTACAGTTATTTGTTTAGTCTTATAAGGTATGAAAAAAAAAATATTTATGCATTTATACAAGTTGGGTTTTCTTTGATTAGTATTGTATTTAATTTCGTAAAGCTACTTTGGCCAAAGTATAGTCAGTTGGCTATTGTTGCTTAGATCAGTATTATGGCCCCTGATCCTCTCTTCTTTAATATAATAGGGTTCTTTTTTTTTTTTCAGGAAAGCTTATCTCAATTTTTTCGTTTATTTTACATTAACTCAAATTTATTGAAAGAAAGTATATCAATGTGATACCAGGTATGAAAATACGAGGGCCGTTCAAAAATTACGCAGACTCTGCTATTATTTACTCTTACAGACGTCATATAGAATTGAAATTTAGATTTCTGGCGTAATATTTGAAGTACTAACAGAAATATATTGTAATTTTACTCCGATGTGACCCCTACGAAGTCAACTGCAAAAATGACGTCTCGTGATTTGACGGAGCAGCGCACTTTTATCAAATGATGAATCATACTGGGAAAACCCAATAGAGACCCAAAATAATCCTAATGAAACATGTATTACACCAGCGGAATATCCGACACATCTCTACAAAATGTAAGAAAGAATTTTAGACTGTTAGACCTTAGTCAAAAGGCAATCCGGGAGGGATGGAAGAAGTTCATCGAAAAAACACTGATCTGGGCTGTTAAGAATGTGATTGAGATCGACTGACGTCAAACTTTACTTCAGAAATATCTGCAGTTCTGGGGTTTAACACAAACTAAAACACACAATAATAGTTTTATAGTTTTTATGCTTAATCGGAAATGGTATATGGATGTTTATTTTGAGTGGAGGTAACCCAAACTATACAGTATCAAATACTAAGGGAAAATATTGAGAACATGAAAGCTCCCATTTTTTAAAAATGCCCGTGACGTTGAAAGTTTTACTGCGCCGTGACTTCAAGAGATTTCCTGTTAAATCACTTGGAATTGATACCAATTTACAATATTTTGATATGAAATTTTGAAGATCATATATGAAAAGATTCTTTTATATTATTTATGACTTTTTCCTTGATTATGTCGTCAAATATATTTTCTGTGCAACAAGTCCGCTTAATTTTTGAACGGCCCTCGTACATATATATTGGTAGGAAAAATAAGGAGTTGGGCTGAAGGACCTTCTACCTGTCATCTCCTCGTTCTCGATGAGGGTAGATCAATTCCTCAGTTTTTCGAAAGAAATATAACAAAATAATACTGTCTATTACTAAAATATAAGTCCAAAATTTTTTTTATACATGTACATATTTTTTCAAAGTGCGTTAAGTGTCTCCATGGTAAAAATGTTGATGTACACTCTTAACGCACTTTGAAAAATTTTTTCAGAGTGCGTTGATTTTGTCCCAAATTTAATGCACTTTGAAAAAATTTTTCAAAGTGCGTTGATTTTGTCCCAATTTTAACGCACTTTGAAAAAAAAAATTTCAAAGTGCGTATTTTTTTAAAAATGCGTTTCCTTATTTTCCAAAATGCAGTTTTCGAAACTAAATGTTACCGGTATATTTGCAAAACGCTTGATGTTATGCTTTGATCTTAAAGAGTAGAATACTTTCTAGGCATCTTTTGATAACCACAGATAAAATGTACCGGTATCGGAATACAAAGAGGCAGTTCAATATTTATGTTCACCGTAGTTGCATGAAATCGCTGAAATTGCATTGTGTATTTGTATTTGAAATACTACCTTATCCTGATTTGAATCTATCAGAGCTTTTCTCTAGTGATACATTTTCAACATAGTAGATAATGTATGTTCTTGAGAATGATACTCATTTTAATAACGTGCAATTCTAGATATAAAATACCAGATGGAAGTCAACAGTTGGACAGCAGTGCATGCTCAAGAACATGGAAATGCCTTGAATGAAAGTGGTCTGCAATCCTTTATGCATATTTATATCAATATTCATTAATATTCCTCTCTTTTGCTATCACAATGTTCGACAAAAATTTTGTTATAATCTCGAACTTTTTTAATTTAAATAAATTAAGAGTGTATATAATTCATCTGGAATTTTTTTCATTGCTTTATACTGCAATTAAAATTACAATCATTATTCAATTAGGGTCAGGTGTCCTCGCTGGTGTAATTGTTGGGATTATCGGGACAGTCGCTCTGGTGCTGTTCACTGTCATATGTTTGTTTTTCAGGTAAGAATTTGTCTAAGCTGCAGAATGCATAAATAACATTTGTTTCATTGTACATTGGAACAAGATATTTGAAATTAAAATTCATAAAAGTTTTGATTTCTAATTAATTTAACATTCATTATGAAGAAATAATTTTTTTTTCATGGGCAGATGAAATAAAACCCAAAATAAAAAAACCATCTTCCATGATATGTAGGTCACGATCATGGTAATGGATGTCATAATTTATAGAAGCGAACTCAACCGATTAAACGTCTGTTTTCTGTGCAAGTGAATCAGAAGATGTATATGTAATATTTGCGTGATCCATCCTTTTTCCCACAAGAATCTCTCTTAATTCGAGACTTTACATACCGATAAAAGGACGTTGAAACATTTCGACCGAAGAAGTTCACTTTAATTCATATAAACGAACGGGAGATAATTGACAAAGTTTAATGTAGAAGTAACTACAATAAATAACTAGAGTGTTCCAATGAATGCATGTGCCGCCTGCCTAATAGCATCATTAAAGATGTAAATAAATCTAAGAGTGGTCAGCTATTTATTTGCTACTGAAATTATAGTTTCCTCCGGCAGCAAAGTAAAAACATGATGTGTTTGTGAAACACTGATGCCATCGTATGGTAGCTCAATGAGCTCATAGCGAAGACTAAAGTTTCCTAAATGCAAGTCAAACTTTAAAGTCAAGGTCAAGAGATTAAACATGCTGATACCCAAAGAAAGGTCCTTACAAAAGGAATGCACAAGAAACTCCAAGCACCAACTGTTCAAAAGTTATGACCAAAGTTAAAGTTTTTCAAAAGTAGGTAAAATCCCAAGGTCAAGGTCAGATGGTCAAAATAAATGATACCCAAAGCAAGGTCTTTTCACAAGGAATACACTTTTGAAATATGAAAACCATAGCCCTAGTCGATCCAAAGGTTTCGTAAAATTTGGCCAAAATGGGTTAAACTCTAAGGTCAAGGTCAAGAGGTTAAATGTATTGGTACCCAAAAGAAAGGACTTGTCACAAGAAATACACATGTGAGATATGAATTAAAGCCATAGCTCTGTCCAATCAAAATTTATAGGCAAGGTTAAAGTTTTTGCGGACAAACAGATAAACAGACAAACAGACGGACGGACAGACAGACACTGCAAAAACAATGTGCCCCCGAATCTTCGATTACGGGGGCATAAAAACATCCACTGACTGAATATGAAATGTGACAATTAGATAAAAATGATTCCCCAAGCCTAAAATGAATAATAAAATTGAAATTATAAGAAATAATTATTTATTATTTTATTCAAACAATTCTCCCGATTCATGACTAGATATACTCCGTAAGAGTGGACTACTCCAATCATAAACAAACTCCCTCCACCTAGTAAATAGGACATCCCTTCTTCAGTCTGTTTTCCCCCTTTTCTTTCAATATTACAAAATAATGTACTTAGAAGGTTAGCTTTCTAAAAAGCTTAGAAAGTCAGCCAGTAGCATATTATTCAATGCTTTGTGATGAACAAAAGTTTCCTTTTAATACATTGACAATACAGTAGGCCAGAGGAAATGCGCTTCACTAAGTAAAGAATCGGCAAAATGATTTCAGAAGACATCATGATCTGTACAGGTTATCATTTCATAAAAAAGCACGTTATTATAGAAGAAATAAGAAAAATCCTAATATCGATTGAAAAGAAAAACTGTAAACGATTTTAAAACTATTCATAAAGAGGTAAGACCATCATTGCAAGTGAGTTTTGTCCGGGGGGGGGGGGGGGGGGGTTATTAGTATCTTGTTATGCTCTACCTATAAAGTATACAGGCCATTTACTTTGCGTCCAAGAGCAGCATTGAAGCATTTTTGTCTCAAACACTTCTAGACAACTTTCCTAGTTACAACTATCTCCAATTTACTTCGTCGTCGAGAACGACAGAGAAGAGACCAGTCTATAAATAGAGGCCGTCTCATCAATCTGTCACTGACCAGAGAGTGTGCATGAAGAAGTGCACCCTCTGGTAAGTCTTTAGAACGACTATATATATGGCGCGCTAGTTAATGAAACTCTGTCTATCAAAATTCAATTGACAGCCGGTTCCACGAGGTGGAAACATGTAACCCTGGTACACGTATTTTACAAAAGCCGTAGTGCCAAGCTATTAATATATGTGCAAAATATGATATCCATACCTCTTACAGTTCTCAAGATGTAAGGTGTAACAGACGGACAGGCAGACAGGCGAAAGCCGGGTAAAGTGATCCTTAAATGTCGCTCTACTCTGCAGGCGACAAAAAAAGCAGTGCTCATCAGACAATTCAGGAAATTTTGCCCCCGGTTAAGTATAAAATAAGTATGTGAGAGATCTTAAAAAATAAAGATGAGGAAAAGAATTAAAGATTTGGATTTTCACATTTTGGCTTACCAACTGATAAGGATATATCTTAAGGACATACGCAACGTAGTTTGAACTTTATTGTCTTTTTCCCTGGAGTTGAAGAGTTCCAATACTGTAAGGAACTGTGTACTGCAGTTTAATGCCTATATATTCTGTTGTACACCTCTTCTTAAACAAGTTTGGATAAACAAAACATCTAGAATATATGTTTAGTAATTTTCATATATTTTTCTTTGAATTATGCAAGAATTTTCATCAATTGATATCTTTTTAAAACCCCTGGTAATGCATGCTGATTTTTTGTCTATGAACATCTGATGGCACTATAATCTTAAATTAAGAATATCTTGAAAAATTATCAGTAGGTAAGGTACGTTGCGTATGTCCTTAAGTTTCATTGCAAAAGCTCAAAGAGAACAAAATCTATCATCAGAACAATGCAACATACGAATTTCTGACCTTGAATTTTTTACCTTTGAGGGAAGTTATATTATAAAATTTCATTGCAAATTTTCTCAGAGACCTGAAGTTATCATCTTGAAAATATTTCATGCAATATATGAATTTCTGATCTTGACCTAAGTCCTTTTGACTTCAGAAATCAAAGAGGGTTATAATATGAAATATCATTGTAAAAGCTCACAGAAGAAAATAAAACGGTTTATAAAAAAGCGGAACTGTTCCAACCCAGATTATACAAGTATAACTTAACATGCTTAAGTAGTTATTGAATTTATTCCTTATTATCTAATATCATTAAGTGTAAAAGGGAGAAAGAAAATGCCTTCAAATTCTGTAAATTTTGAACGTAACGTCAAACGACACGGTAGATTTTACAAATCGGAACTACTCGAGTCCGATAAAAACATCAGAGGAGTTTCAATAAAAACATCAGAGGAGTTTCAATAAAAACATCATAAAAACATCAGAGGAGTTTCAATAAAAACATCAGAGGAGTTTCATTCCATGCACGTGACCTGTGTGTACGCATTGATTAAAACTAAATTTTCTAGCCAATCAAATCGCGCGTTACAAACAGATTTTTAAATTACATGTATAACTATTTATTATAAAAATTCAATTCATAGAGAAATGAGCACTTTTAAAACATTCAGCATCCACAAAGTGTGCCATATTTTTCACTTTCACATCTGGATGAACTTATTTTACAGTGAATCCATATTTATATCACTAAAAGAAAGAGATAGCATGGATAACTCTTCTCAGTTTTTACAGGTTTAGAAATAAAAATCCCAGATCCAAATATCAAACACCAACAATCACATTCTCCAGCACTCCAAGGCGTGATAGTAAACTCTCACAGGACAAGTCAGTGAAATCTACCCCCATGAAACCCTTAAGGAGGTCAAAGAAATCGAACCCAGGATCTTTGACAGGAGGTACAGCTTATGAAAATATTGTACTTACATTAGAAGATCCTGCAACGATTTCCCGAGTTGTAAGTTCATCCTCAACAGCACAAAAACAAGACATGGAAGATGTCGAAAATAGTTATGACGTCATGGGTGCATTCAACACAAACAGTAACCCGGAGGGTACTAGTCAGAGCGTCTACGGATTTAGTGCTCCAGATAATGAATATGACGTCATGGACAGGGGTACCAGACGTACTGTAGAAGTGAATCCTGACTACGATCACATGTGACGAAAAATTTGTGTTTGAGAGATCACTTTAATTGTATTGTTATTAATTTAAATTTTTTATGATATGTTTATGTTTACTTTTTTATTGTACATATACATGTACAGTACATTTCATTTTCAAAGGGGCATGAATTATTTGCTGTGAGGGATGCATGCAACCTAAAAAAAATATAAAATCATTAAGAATTCATCAGTCATTTTGAGATAAAATATTTTTAATTTTTTATATTTATGTGTGTGTGCGTGTGTTTTTGAGGGTGTAAAAGTGATCTGAGGCTTCCTAATACTATAGAAGAAATTGGTAATAAAATGTGCATCATTATGATCTCGACCTTTGTAATAAAAAATATTGTTGCCCAAGAAGACCATTTTTTACTCAAAATTTTACAACTAGTGCATGATGGTTTACCAAAGCTAGAAATACCATGTTAAAAAAAGTTGCTTATTTGGTACTGACTGACTTTGGATTTCCAGAACTTAACTAAATGATATCCCCAATTTCTAGGTCAATAAAAATTTAAATCACAGTTTATGAAAAGCTATGTTTAATATTGCTTAACGGAATGAATTCAAATTATACTTTATATCTTATCAGGGATACTTGACTGAGGATGGTGCTTCCAAGGTCAAGGACGTGAAGTACAATGAAGCTTTTGTCATTGTCTCTAGTTAACTACAAGCTACTGCATGAGGTGGCCCGCGTGGCGCAGTGGTTAGAGTGTTTGCTCTAGAATCGCGGAGTAAGGAGTTTATCCTTGCGTCGCAGGTTCGAATCCCACTGTTGGACATAGAGAAAGGTCCGGATGAGACCGTATAAACCGAGGTCCCGTGTCGCAGGAGGTGCTGGCACGAAAAAGGTCCCTCACTGCTCAAGGGCCCTAAGTGCCGAGTATACAAATTTAGGTCAAAATTTGCAGCTCTCCACCGGCAAGTGGTGGCGTCTCCATATGAGTGAAAATTTCTCGAGAGGGACGTTAAACAACAATAAACAAACAAGCTACTGAGTGTAAACAAACTTAAATGCTTTCTTACATAAAGTGTTTGATGTGTTCCATATGAAATCATGACCCTAAGTACATCGAATGCAAGCAACACATTGCAATCTCCTGTGTGTCATACAAAGCTTATGAGGCTAAAAAACTTTATTGTCTGAAATTTTTCATGTATAACAAAGCTATACCCTGGGGTATGAAATATACTGTCTACTCTCAGTAAAAATACATGTATAGCACTTTTCAGCAAAAATATGAACATCAGTACATGTATAATGAAACTTTTATTCACTGGCATAGCTCTTTCATCGAACTTTTGATGGAACTCTTCCCCTCGGACAAGTTCCTGTTGCGGATTTGATCAGAGTTATCTCACTCACAACCAATGAATAGGAGTATAATAGCTATACCGTCATATCTAACCAAAACATTTTAAGGCTTATTTTGATGCATTTTATTTTAAAAGTGTCCAAAGTATAATAATTTGTTTCTGTTACTGAGAGATGTTCACGGTCTTGTTTCAAGATTTTTTTTTATCGCTTGAGCACCTACTAGTAGTCAGAATGTCAGCAGGAAAATCAGATACTTATACGCTCTAAAACCTCTCAAACAATGTTTGCAATGGGTTGGGGATCGAGGGGAGGGGGGAGTAAATCAAAGTAAGTAGGGTGTTTTCTAAATATTTTCTAAAGCTGATTTTTTTTAAAGAAATCAGTTTTATTCTTTTCATCATTGTGTGCCATATTCATATAAATGTATACTCAATATATATCTTAATTTATCTTTGTACTTATTGCGTTCCAATACTTATTATACACAACACAGAAAAGAATGATGTTTTAGTACGAAGAAGCGTCTATGAGTCTGAAGATCAACTTCATGGTAACCTGTACCATGAACTAAAAATATACAAGTACGACTTTTTTTTTCTCTGGAAAGTAAGAAGTGGTTCACTTCTTTCATGCAAAATAAGAGGTACTTTCAAGATGTATCTTAATGCAGTCTATTTGTGTAAAATTTAATGGAACACATGCAAATTAATCCCGTAGAGGGAGTAGAAGAAACAGAAATAGAGATTGATATAGACAACGGAAATTAACAATAACAGCAAGATTTTCTTGATCAACATTATAAATCTAAGTACAGGACTTGAGTAGCAGACAGCGCGCCAAGAAAGCTGAGTATTGCTGCTACCACCACTACCGCCACAGTACTCCCTGCGGCATCCACCACAGACCCCACAAATGCTGAGAGAACAAACTGTGCTACAAAAACCATACTGCTGACGATGGCGAGGTCGGTCCCTAATCCCCGTATGCTGCTTTCTGTCAGAGGTTCTGCGGAAAACTGAAAGATAGAAAATTCGTTTGGTTACTGCTGTGATAGAAAATGTTCGAGAAATTATGATTGATTCTTGTGAAATGTAATATTTTTTATATTTATCCCTTTTTAGACCAATATCTTAAGGTGAATATTGAGTAAATTAATTTTTATGATGTATTTCCTTTAAACACCTTAGACCTTTCAAAACATTTAATGATAAACCTTTAAGCTTAATTTTCCTGGTTTTAATATTAAAATTTCCAATTCTGTATCCCAAGGTATCACTGTTTACAACATAACATTGTGCTCTTACGAGAAATAATATGCTATATTTTACTACCCCCTTCTCCCTCTCCCCAGTAATTTGTATAATATTAATTAAGTACACATGTAAATCACAAAAATGTATTGTCTTACTTGTCCCTTGGTATGGTAATTAGCCACTAACATGTAGGGCATTGTAAATAGTGTGGCGTACATAATTCCAGCAGTGGGTGAAAGCAAAATCACAGTCACCCGACTTTGAGTGGCCGCCATGATGATCATGCCAACACAGTAGACAAACTGTCCTCCAATATACACCCACTTTGCTCCTTCAAAATTTGTTATAATAGACTTGAGTTAGATCCCGATCGTAAACCATTCTAGACTTGAAAATATCTTAAATTCCTATTTAAAGGTAACAAGAAAATACTTTTGTTTTATTCTTATGATCCTTTTAGACTTAATTGGCTGACCAAATTCTTGAAAATGATCACTGGCATTTTATGTATTTACAATTCAAACACTACTTACCAAATTTTTCCACCAGTTTCTCAATAAACATAGAATAAAAAGCACAAGACAAAGAATACAGCGCCATTCCAAATGATCCCAATCGAACACCATCGTTGTAAAGCTTGTGTAGATGACTTAGTCTTGGTGCCTTTGGATCGCCTCTAAAAACTGCCTGACCAACAAAGTCCGTAAAATACAGAGAATAGCAAACAAGGGACATCCAACAAAAGAGATTAGTCACACACAGAACAAACAGGGACTTAGGCATCCGTATGATAGATACTAAGTACGTTTTTAATTTAACTTCGTTTAATAATGAAATCAGATTTGAGCTTTGTGAAGAAGGTTTTTTTGCTATGGTTTCATTTGAATCTTTCTCACAGGGAAAATTCTCAGTCTGAGATTTCTTATTTGGAAAATCATCAGTTGATCCATATTGAACTGGAGTAGATGATTGTTTTAAATTTTCATCTCCGTCCTCTATGCTGTCATCATCCTCTTCGTTAGTAAATTTTTCGTATTTGGATTTTCCTTTAACTTTTTTCGACTTCTGAATTTCCTCAACTGATTTTTCAAAGTGTGACAGTGGAACCTCCTTGAAACTTGTTAAAGTAATAACAAGACACAGAATAAAGAAAATCGTTACTGCTGTAAAAACCACGAATATGTGTCCTTCTAAGGAGGACTCCTCTGTGTGTTTCAAATCCCAGTTTATTCCTCCCATGATATATCCAAAGCACCCGCCAAGTCCCGCCATAATTGTGAAGGTACTTAATCCTTTGGGGTGATCTTCTGGGATACTAACATCCAATAGATACGCTCTGCTTGGAGACTGTGCTGCATCACAGCTAAAGTCCAACAGTACCACTCCTAATATTGTAAGAATAATTCCTGTTTTGTGATTTGCGTAAACATGTGAGCTTATATCGTCTTGTTCTTCCAAAAATGTTTCATTGACTGTTTCGTTGACTTTTTTAACGTATTGGTGAAGAGTTGGGTTCGTTGTGGTATTAAGAGTGTCCAATATATTGTTGTTATTATTTGCTAATGTTTCATTGATAATCATCACTTCTGATTGGTCACCTAAATGTATTCCAAAAGTTTTCCCATTGGGAACAATGATTAGTCCAATGACAATACCAGTTGCTAATAAAACTATGAAGGGTCGACGGCGGCCGAATTTTAATCTACAATTGTCACTTAAAGAACCTAAAACAGGAACGCAGACAATTCCAAAAAATGGACTTAAACACCATACCAACGACATAAGAGGTGCCGGAACACCAAGTTTCAGTAGAATTGGACTAACAAAAGCAGTCTCGGCGGCGTAACAAAGCTCTATTCCACACACAACAGCACTCAGACGAATTAATTCTAACCGAGTTTTCTTCTTTTCTAGGTAAGAGTAATTATCTTCTGGTTTTATAAAGGCTGCAATTCCTGATCCCACACTCTGAACCATGGGATTTGCTCGATCCCGTATCCTTTTAGCTGCCTGAATGGTTGATGTTAATAATCCAATAGACATCTTGTATCTGTGAGAGGAAAAAGTTGAAGTCTGTTTGCTAATTTGTTTTCAATGCTAAAATTTACTTTCAAAAAACTCCATGGTTGTATGTATAGGGGAAATATAATATGATTAATTTCAGCATAAAACAAATTTAATCAAAAATTGCAGGGTCTCCTGTTTCTGAAACATTTGTAGATCGAAGTATTTATATAGGATAAAGTGTCTGGATTGATCGAAGATCAATAAATGATGGTGACACTGAAGCACCAATTACTAAATTCGAAGCCAATTTACTGAGACAAGGCTAATCGGATCTGCTCTATCTTAATGTGTTGACGGCATTATCAATCAAAACAGACACAGTACATTGATCATCTTTGCAATTCAAGACCACTTCTGATCAGGATCTGTCATCACAATGCATCAGGCAAGTCCTAACCCTAGTTACTCATTCAAACTGAGCGATCTATCGATATTTGTAATTTGGCATACCATTTTCTTAAGGAGCAGGAAACAAGGTTATTGGAGTGATTTGTTTGTATGCTTTTAATAGTTGAGGGATTGTCTGTTAGTATGCTGTTTTAAGTCTACGTGAGATTATTTCACTCCGATCGAGATGCCATTACTTAGGGATGAAATGCCAAATATGGACAGTCGCCAGTGAAAGGCCGTTCTTTATCGTGCCAGCGGTTATATGTAAGGGTCTCATCCGTTTATATCTAATACTGGGCGTGTAGCGATGGAAAAGTTATAAAAACCGAACGTCCAAAATACTTGCAATATACATATGTATAGTTCTCAACCCCTCGTGTTCTGTTTATAAATCTTCATTACAGATAAATGTATGCATATCACCTATACTATAGATTAAGTTATCTTCCAAATGCAAAGTTTATATCTTGGAAAATTATATTGTTTTGTGTACATGTATTTTAAGTTCTGAAATGTCAACATTCCTAATGTAGGGATAATGTTAGTTTAAAATGTCACATCCTATTCACTGTGTTATTCTACTCATTGGCTAGCTTTGTTAATGTACATTTACATGTCTTTTTTTTGTTTTGTTTTTGTTTTGTTTTTTTACATAACACCAATGATAAAGAGTGGAAAGCTAGCTGTATTTGAATGGGTTAGCAAAAAGGTCAAATGTAATACTGACTACATTTTTTTTCTATTCATCTTTCTGATGCTTCACAAATAAAGATATTAAAAATCTACTTAATGAAGAAAATTGATGTACATGTATTAACAATCAAAAATACACAGTGATGAATTTTTGATATACATATAATAACACCGCGGAAGACCTTCGTGTTATCACGGCATTCCATATGAATAAAGAAAACGCAATTTTACTGCGTTAATATTGACAGATGTTAGTTTGTCAAAATTAATCTACCCCACCGATTGTACGTTTATACATGTAATACGTATTTGACTTTTCCTCGAAAAGTGATTTGAGTGTTTATTTACCTGGTACCTTAAAAATCTTATGTATAATCTAATTTCCGAGTTGATGGAAATTAAAATAATAAAATCCCAAAGAATATTTAAAACGACAGAAAAACAATGAAATATAATCCAAGGAAAATATAAAATCCTACCCCTGCCACTGGTGTATAATTCATAAGAGATAAAAGTTTTATATTGTATCTATAGAGACTCACCAGTGGCAGGGGTAGGATTTTATATTTTCATTGGATTATATATATAGAGACTCACCTTTATGCCAGGTACTTATACAGGAGAGTATTTCTTTGATTCACTAGGAATTCATTGATCTGAAAAGTTGAAGCCTGACGTAATATCGAATTTGCTTTGCAAAGTAGCAGTCTCTTACAGTCCTTGAGATTTATAGGACGGGGGTATTACGTTTTTTTTAGAGCTGATCAATATGCAACACAAGACGTACATTCAATAAAAACGGTTAGATATGGCCGACAGATTTTCAATTAAAAGTTGGTCCCTGATGAACTTGTATAAAGTGTCTGATGGAGGTGGTAATGTGTTTTATTTCTGTCCATCAAAAGAGTAATTTCTGTACCGTGGACCTGATTGGGGGTCTGCTTCTATAATATGACATATTTCTGTCCAATTTCCGTTTTGTTTGTTGTGTGAGACACGAAATTCAAATGAATTATTTACGTGAGAAAAACTGCACATTTCCTACTCTTCATTGAGGGAAGAAGAAAACTGCAGGACAGAGAGAATTTACTTTTATATATGCACAGGTAAAATAATTAATAAGGATACCAGAAATATCCTGTAAAAGTTGGAATATTTAATAATTTAATTATCAGTACAATAAAATTATATAGCAAGGATATAACTACTTACTTGTATATATTTTCTCTTTTCTCCTTGAATAATTCGGAAATTTAAATGAAACATAATCAGTATCACTGTATCACTAACGTTACGTTAAAAAAAAAAAAAAAAAAAAAAAAAAAAAAAATGTCTTGTCATCATAAAAAGTACCTCAAAGCAACTGGAAGGCAAAGTCTTCTTAATGTTCTGTATGGTGCAGGCACGTGTGTCATGGATTTAAGTGTTCTCTGTCACTAACTCTAACTCTCAAGACTGAAAAATAAATAGAAATCTGAGAAATTAGTCTTACTCGATTTTTGAGATTGATCACTCAACATTCTTTAACTTTAGTCCAGTCGATTTAGCGAAAATATGGGCCCATCGTCAAACTAATTGCAACACAAATTATTTTGTCATAAATTAAATTTAACATGTACAAAACATTTGTAGTAAAAAATCGGAGAAAATCTGATGTACTGAAAGCATAGCTATGGAGATTACTATAGAGAAGGGGCATAACTCTGTAAATTCATCCAAAGTTTTGCGGAAGTCATCAAAAGAAAATTCCTGTTTTTCTTGAAAGCAAAATATGTTTTAACCTTTTTCATACACATTAATAGTACATAATAATATAATAATAAATGTACAGATAACAAAAATTTAAAATGGATATTTTGGATTAGCTTTCATACTTTTCCTTAAATTGGAAAGCATTTTAATAGATAGTGAATACACGCTTTAAGGAAGAATAAAAATAAATAATTTTCCCTTAGATTTAGATTTAGTAGCATGGATCATTTCATTTAATACATTAAAAAACATATCCATAAAGATTTAGAGACAAAATCTGACCTATTTTTTGATAACCTCTACCCTGAAATTTTATTATTATGAGGCGAAGAAATGCAAAATACACTCTAAAGTGAGCCTAAACATCTGTAAAAAAAAAAATCCAAGGGGTAAAAGGTTTTACTGCACCTATAAATGTTATAATACACACTTTAATTCACTTCCCCTTTCATCAAGGTAGAAATGCACCAAAACTTTAACCAACATTTAGTAAAGTGACAAGAGTTATGCCCCTTTCCAATCGTAATTTTCATAGAAAATTAACAAACCCCAAATAATGCTTTCCCTTCATCCGATTTTGTGATTATTTTTTTTTATTACATTGATTTATTTAGTGCATTCTAGAGTTAATTTATAACCGAAAAATTAGTTTGATGTTTCGTGATACATTGACTGGATTACTTCAACCTTTACATACAAGTGTTAAATTCATCTATATTCGATATTCGAAAGGAGGAATTCTAGTTGATTATTTCCTAGCATGACATCCAATGTTCTGTGAATGTGAATTTGTCACAATCCTTAGTCTTCAATATTGTTCCCTCTATATTTCGAGGATCTTTGTTATAGCTCCATTGCGCATTGTTATCTCATGCAAGATCTTACCGTAACAAGATTGGAAAGACCCCCCCCCCTTTTTTTTTTTTTTTTTTTTTTTTTTGCAGGTTTTTGTCTTGAATTGATTTTTAAAAATATGCATATTTTCCCTATGTTTCGGATTGAGTGAAATTCGTGAAAAACGGAGAGCTCCTTCTTTAGAAGCTTGCCATTTCACTTGTTAGCATTATTCATGCAAACGCAGTTTTGAAATCCAGATATTTGACTATAATATTAGACCCAATCCAAAGCCAAGTAGATTCTTCTCAACTTAACAAGATCGGAAAGCCTCCCCCCTTTTTTTCAGGTTTTGTCTTGAATTGATTTTTAAAAATATGCATATTTTTCCTATGTTTCGGATTGAGGGAAATTCGTGAAAAACAGCGAGCTCTTTATTTAAAAGCTTGCCATTTCACTTGTTAGCATTATCCATGCAAACGCAGTTTTGAAATCCAGATATTTGACTATATTAGACCCAATCCAAAGCCAAGTATATTTTTCTTAACTTATATCGTACAGGATATCAGCTGTTGAAGTTCAGGGGTGTTTTTCTATCCATGAAATATGGCGATAACGAACAATAGTCAAGCTCAAAAGTACAAAGAAACAATACAAAGCGGGAGCAGAGCAAACACGGACCTCTAAATCATCAGAGGTAGGATCAGGTGCCATGGAGGAGTAAGCATTCCCTGTCGACCCGTCACATCCGCCGTGTGTTTATTGTCATGATCGGGCGAACGGAAAAATTCGAAGACAGACAGTTTGGTGTTTAAATAACAACAATCAGTTTGAAAAACAACCTTTCCCCACGATGAATGAAAGTCCAGGCTTTTTTAGTATGAAAAACGCCAGTCACTATTCGACTGAATGATAGATTGTATTTGCTGACAAGGTCATTTTATCGACCATAAAACTTGCGAAATGATGATTTTAAATGAGACTACTAGTATAGATATCCTTGTCTCATCAACTTGTTTGTCAGTAGCTTGCCTCGTTTTAGAAATTGTTCGTACGTGGGAGATATAAACCCCATATGCAGGTGATAAGGGTATATTGTTACAGAAATAAGGGAAGGTGACGATAGAAAAGTTGAAGTCATCACGTTCATCATAAGGTTTTGCTGTTAGATTACCAACATTTTTTTTTCTAGTAAAAACATCCAAATATGAAACAGATGTGTCAGACTCGGCGATATCTCTTATTTCTCTTAAGGCATTCAATGTATAACGACCATATTTTATACCTGATAAATGAATGGTCCGATATTTTTAATCATGGTAGCATTTTGAAGGTGTTATCAAATAAAAATACTCCACCAAAGGAATTTCCAAAATTTTGATTATTGTCCA